CTGTATTTGATTTCACCTTATTCCCATGTTCCACAAACAAGCTATTAACAACCGAAGCGACATCGCTACGAACTATCTGGAAAAGTTTCGTGTCGGAGTTTCGCATACAAAATCCGTGTTTAGGTGTCGGAAATGACACTACGGTTGTCCTCACATACGGGACAGTGACACATCCCGTTTTCGCTGTAGCATATATGTTTGGACCAGAGTTGCACCGTCAATTCCTGGAAGCAATTGATGGTCAACATGTGTAGGCGACACCGAATCTGGTTGTCAGACCGAACGTGACTCCAGATCCAGTTGAAGCTGTCGAGAAGACGAGGTACGGTTCCTCAGTCTCGTGTTGTCTGTGGACTGGAGCGGTTGGCTCGTGGGTGCTTTCTTGTAGTACTAAATGTGTTGTGATGGCTGGCGCAGGAGGTGTACCAAAGGGGAGCGATGAGGACGTCGCTCAAAAGAAGAGAGGGACAGTGTAATACTTTGTTTGTGTGACGACATGACGTTTGGCGGTCACTTTAGAATTTGTTTGGTTCCTGTACACGTGGGCTTGCCTTTGGGCTGCGCTCAGCTCATCCTTACTTATGCCTATGCTCCACCCTATGAGAAGCCTGGGGTCGCTAAATATGTGACTACCTGCATGAATGACGGTCACGTTGGCCCATATGCTTTTGTCTTTTAGGCAGGCCTTTGGACTAGGCCGTAGTCTCACCTCTGCCCTCCCTGTCGAACCATAAGTATTCAGTCATGCTCAACGCCTTCGACTACCCAACCGGAAGTTCCAGCGCGTTACACGTATGATTTCCTTTGTTAAACCCTTTCTTGCAATAACAGGCGAATTAGACGGACACCGTAGACGACACTCTCCGACATTCTTTTGTAATGCAGTGGGATATGACTAACAAAAGTATTACCGCAAGACAAATCGATTTGTCGTCTTTTTGAACTGACAACTGAGGCTTTTTCAATGCCTCCGAGTGTCTGCGAGTCACTCAAGTACATGTAGAAAATGGGTGGTCAAAACATGACCTCCGCGATAGGACTGGAGGGAGAAGCCGCAGCAATGGAGTATTTTGGGAGACAAAAACCCTCATACCTACCATACTACATAGTACGTCATGGACGTTTGGCACGACGTCGACTGCTTCACGCGCGTAGCAAAGAGCACGCCCTGAAACATATCGACATTCGAATTGGGTGGTTGGCCCTTTTCTGGCTCCTCATTTTCATCATTGTGATGACTATTTTAATTGCTTTGTTAAAGGACCTGATCATTACCTACATCTCAAATCCTGTGGCAACCCAAATCCTCTCGGAAAATGAAATACTCGTCTTTCCTGATGTCACCATATGTCCTGTTGCACCACTTTCCAATTCTTCGATGCCACAGGAAGATCTGGCCGAGTTGGAGAATATGAAAAGTCGAGTTGTGCAGAAATTAAAATATGCTGGACTGCATCCGACCGATTTAAATGTGCAAGCCGCAATGCTAATACAGCTGGCAACTCATAGGCGTGAGTCTACCCGAATTCGGCCATTTCAAATTGTTATGCAAACTAGTGACGTCATGATGTTTATCGAAGGGTACGACCTACATATTCTATGATAGACTGGGTATTTGTAGTAGTCGAATTGTAAAAACCACACATGGGCAGAAAATTTTGTGCTTAAAATGGATTGCGAATGCACGAGAAGACATGCCTGGGTCAACGAGAATGCGCTTCTGGCCATGTCAGTAAGGAAAAGACTTTTTACAAGTGGTTGACTTGATCCTGTCCACGATCACACTTAATGATTTGTGAATACGAATTCAGAAGACATAAACGTGAATAATGGGATAATTGCTCACTGAGTAGAGGGTAATACTAATTGGTACTAGTGGCAACTTCCTATCTAATAGTTTCACCCTTCAACTACCTACCTTGGTTGTTGGATTGTGGCGGTAGATAATGGTAATTCAAACTACGTGGGTGCTTAATGTATACTTCATGCGTAGCCTCCAAATACATTCCAACTTAGAAGACACGAAGCAGTGGACACCTTGACGGATAGAGGGTGGAGCTTTTAGCTTGATTTTGTAGGACTAAAGAAAGTCTTTGAAGGCTTTCTTGAAAGGGCCCTTAGGAACGGCACAATCAAACAAATCAGTTGGCTTTTACTGATAAGAATGCCGAAGTGAGTTGTGGATACTTGAATCTTCTCCCATTCAGGAATGTCAGATCCTCGGAGCTACGACCACCTGATATACTGTGCCTATAATGGTCAGCATTGCTCCTTTGCCAACTTTACGGAAGTTGTGCATCTACGCTACCTCAAGTGCTTCACATTTTCCCCAAGGGAGGAGAAACGTCGAGTCACTGTGGGTGCTGGTCTCACATTTGTCTACGTGGCCGAACAAAATGGCACTGGTGCCGTGCCATACATGATCCTAAATGATCTTGAGGTGGGTTGACAGCTGAATAGTAGCTCATATAAACTCATGATATGATTATGTGCTTCAGTTCTCCTCCTGAAGACGTCGATAGTCTTCACTCTTAGCTAATTGAGAGTTCAATACCTTTTTCTTAAACTTATCCAAGAGCTACATGTTCGACGCTCCAAACTACGATGGGATCAACATTTTTGTGCATAATCCGGGGACCTTTCCAGGCTACGAGATCAGTAGTATGCCATCCAGCTTCGCAGTTCACTTTGGTCAGATCGCCAGAGTCGAAGTTACCGGCTTACAATTTGTCTCAACAACACGTGGCTTCAAAAAGTGCAGCGAACATCCCAAACCCTACAAGTGAGACTGACGTTTTCTGTAATAGCCACAGTAGTCTTCCTTATCATGCCACTCAAGATCCGCCTTCAAATCTTTAGGTACACAAGTTTTGGAGGATTGACAAAGTATCTGGAGTACCACTACACCTATGAGGATTGTGTGGCTAATCGAAAACAGTCACACATTCTAGAAACTTGTGGATGCTACTCAGACCTTTTACACGTACCACACATTTCAGAGCCCGATGATGATCCTCAGGCTCGTGGTATGGCAAAAGTGTTGGATCTCTCGCACCTGAGGGTAGATTTCTGTCGTGATTTGCGAGATCGCACCTCTCAACGAGCACGTGCCAACTTTGAGTGTCATGAGAGATTGAGTAGACTACCAACTTCTAATGTTCTCGATGCCTACATTAATCCAGATTTGTTGTGGGAGTCGAGAGACAATCCAGATATGCGAAAAAAATTGCGCCAAGAAGTGTGCCCAGTCAACTGTAACAAGGTGTGTTGAAGGCGTTTGGCTCAGTGAGGCTACAAAGAGTACCTCAAGTCAGTGGTAGTATGTAAGGCAGCTCTTGTTAGTTTACACATTTCTCAAGAGTAACACGATATCATTCATTCACGCACCCTTGAGAGGCGGAGTTTGACCTCAAGGCCTTGATTCTGGCGAGTTGTTTTGGCGCTGGTGCCATAGCGCTCAAAATTTGTTTCATCAATTTCCCCTTTCCTTCTTTTGTTTTGCTAGATGCTCTATCAAACACGCAAAATTGAGGTGTTGAATATCAATGACAACTTCACAATGAAGTTGCCCTTAATCGCTAGACACATGATGGATCTCAATCTCTCCACTCTAGACGCCAACACAGCCATCCATCAGAGGTGGTCTCAATTGCTAAGTGATGAAACGGGTGGACAGACAAACCTTACTGAAGGCAAAAATATAATTGTAATTGACATTCGATTACGCTCGGCTCGTGTAGACACGTGGAATGAGGAGGTGACCAGCAGTCTCTTTGCCCTAATGGCCAATATTGGTGGTACTCTGGGCCTCTGTGCTGGTATCTCCTTTCTTTCTGCTCTCTTCCTTCTCATCTTCTTTGGTAATGCCTTCTACCACTTGATTATGCTGGCGTTGGTTTGGTTCTGGTGGAATATCTTTCAAGGCAAGCCAAAAGCAGTGGAAGTGGAGGAGCTGCGCATGTTGGATGAGCGATCGAAGGTGATGGAAGAAAGAGAAGACGATGTTCGGCCATTTAGAAGTTCCGGTCATATGCGTGCAGTGTCATCAACCATTAAGGCGAGGGAAAAGAGTGTCATTTATGATCCCTGGGTCGCAGCACAAATGCAATATGGACGTCCGCGAAGTGGTACTGGGGTGGAGGCGCAAGACGATCTTGGTATCAATCATGGTGGTAGTCATCAGGTAAGCTATCAGTTTACCTTGCAGAAGCAAAAAGGCTGGATCTGGCTTTGCCAACAATAGGTGGGCCGCTAATTCCTTTTCGAGTAATACAAGATGGTGCAGAGAAAGCGAGGCGCAGCGCCTTGGGATCTCTCTGTGATAACTTTGATTTTCGGGAAATAAGCAAGCATCACTTAGCACAAACACCGGGATTATAGGACACGGGTAGCACAGATGGTGAGAACGTCCAAAGCACTCCTTCCCACAAAGAAAGCGCCGAGGACGCTACATCCAAGCATTTCCTACCTGCAAGAGATGCAGACGGGCAGGAAGGAGAATCATTTCATTACACTAGTAACACACACGTACCTCTCAGTCGCTATGTTGAGAATATGTTGACTCGACTGCAAAGACATTGGGGTACACAGACATACCTAACTCGAGGTGAATGTCAGGAGATCACAAATGATCAGGTCAGCCACCTTGTCACTGTGTTTTTGCTGAAATTTCAACTTTTATCCCCACTGACTCGAGGTTTTGGTCTGCAGAAGGGATCAGTATCACCACCAGGTATCCACATTAATGAATGTTCACCAGCGTTGTCGCGAAAGGGGATAAATGGCATCGGAGAATCCCATGAAGTGAAAACGGAGGTGGAGGAGGTACCGAGATCGGTACCAACTAGGATGCAACACTTCTTTGCTCACACCATCTGCGCTCCAAAATGAGAGCATCACCTCGGTGGCCATTTCCGCTTAAAATCTTCTTAATACAAACATTGCAAATGGTGTATGACAAATAAAAACAAATGCAGAGGGATGGTCACATTCAGTGTCACTGTTAGGGTGATCTTTGTGGCAAATTTCTGGCCCTTTCATCTTTAATAACAAACTCGCCGTTGCGTAAAGCGCTGTAGCATTTACACAGTTCTCTATAAATCGGGAAAAAATTTTGCACTGTGAAGTCCCGCTTAATGGGTCCCCAATTAGGCAATTATTATTGTATCCCAGAACTTTCTACTAGACACTGGAAAGCACAGTACCTGGGTCCATATGTGTATGCAGAGAAAAGGAAAGATGATGGGGGCTTTTGGAACAAATATCCACAACCAAACAAAAGCACTTAACTGTTCCTCTCTGATCTTGAGCGACGTAGTGGGTGATGAAAGGCGAAAGCCAAGTGTCAGCCTTTGATAGCGCCAAATGGATTTGAAGTTCTGTGCGACTTAAATGCATGTACCGGACACAGGAGTTTGGTAGCCATCAGTCGTGTCCAGATCCAAACGTCGTAACACTAGTCAAGAGTAGTTGGATAACAGGAAATACGGAAATTACTACAGTCTCATGCTAAGAGGATTGTCACACTTTCACATTTCTGATATTCAAGTGAAAATACGAACACAGAAACCCTAAAACCTAGCATTCAAAAATTGTTTAAACGGTTTACCGCGCCCACTTTTTGCATCTAGGTCGAGGATGGGGATGTCAACTCCTATGCTGCATAGAAAATGACGATTATTCCATGCAAATAATATGCATATCATTCGTACTGTAACATTTGTCGCAAGTGGCAAAAATCAAGAGGAATGTTTTTTATGGGACTCAAAAATTCGTCTGGTCTTTGTACGCGTGAGCAGGTCTTCGGGACATGCTCAAGCTAAAATACTTTGTTCTCCTTAGAATACGTGTATTCAACTCCAATCACTGCTTCTCCTACCCAGTGGGAAGGAGATCTCTCCAATGCAATTAACATCGAGTCTCGAGGCGTTCTATTAACTAACAGGAGGCATGGCACTTGCCAAAGGGCATTAAATCAGGCCAAAGGGAAAAAAATAAATATTGGTATGGTTCTAGGGTCAGTTTACTAGGCAGACAAATATAGTTGTTGCAGTGTCTTTCTCGGAATTACGAATCAAATATGAGGAAGGGACATTTATCTTTCGGGTTCCGCTCTAAACGTCGATGTGATGTGGGAACGTGAACCTTTATCTTTAGGAACTACCTGCCTACCCTCATGCCCTTGAAACTCGGACTTTAAGAAAGGGTTAGGTGCAGTAGATTTATTATACATTGAATGCAGGAAGAACGACGATAGGAGTACAGATGAATCAAACAGCAGGTTTCACTCGGAGACAGATTTTTCACGGCCCTCACGCGCCGGGTTCGCGTTAGACTACGCCTCCCGCCTTCCCTATAAAGGTCCACTTAGACGCTCTAGTATATATCGCACAGCTCCCTTCTTCTTTCAAGCACTGTCCCCGGTGTTGACTGTAGCGTGCCGAGGCTTCCCATAGGGTGGAAGAAGGCATAAGTGAGATTGAATACGTATATTCCAAAGACGACAGGGCAAATGGGGCTGAGCGCAGTCCAAAGGCCAGCCCACGTGTACAGGAACCAGACAAATTCTAAAGTGACCGCCAAACGTCATGTCGTCACATAAACAAAGTATTACACTGTCCCTCTCTTCTTTTGAGCGACGTCCTCATCGCTCCCCTTTGGTACACCTCCTGCGCCAGCCATCACAACACATTTAGTACTACAAGAAAGCACCCACGAGCCAACCGCTCCAGTCCACAGACAACACGAGACTGAGGAACCGTACCTCGTCTTCTCGACAGCTTCAACTGGATCTGGAGTCACGTTCGGTCTGACAACCAGATTCGGTGTCGCCTACACATGTTGACCATCAATTGCTTCCAGGAATTGACGGTGCAACTCTGGTCCAAACATATATGCTACAGCGAAAACGGGATGTGTCACTGTCCCGTATGTGAGGACAACCGTAGTGTCATTTCCGACACCTAAACACGGATTTTGTATGGGAAACTCCGACACGAAACTTTTCCAGATAGTTCGTAGCGGTGTCGCTTCGGTTGTTAATAGCTTGTTTGTGGAACATGGGAATAAGGTGAAATCAAATACAGACGTCAGTCTCAACCCTTTCGTTGTGAGGGATTCAGAGATTCTCCGTCAACAAGGTAACTGTGCCTCCTTCAATTCACGTCTCCTAATCGCCTGTATCTTCATCTACTGCACTTCAATAGAGTAAGACTTCCTTTTACGCATACATAGCTCATGATTGTCAGAATGCGCTTATTAATCTTGGATTTCTCCGCCAAGATGTAGGATTCCTTTGCAGTCTTGCTTGTTGGTTGGATTATAACCTTCTTGCCATGAAAAGAGGTTTCGACTTTCCGGTCAAGGGAACCCAATTTTGGGGTATCTGCATGTATTGAACCAGTGCATCATCCAATTGAACCGTTGTTCGTCGGCTTGTTCGTACTGTTCTTTTGCGAAAATCAATCGATTAGTTGGCAAAGTTTAGCAACGCGAACGCAGAATGTCAGTAAGACAGTGGTGTCTGTTGGGCAATAGATTGTCGCTTCTAACAAACGACCAACGAAGAACAAGTCGAAGAGAGAAACCCCACTTCGGCTGCAGCAGAAGGTCTTCAAAAGCACTTTCTACCTAAAAGTCGTCAAAAAAATGTCGGGTTCGCTTTCCGCTGCCACCGGTGTAGTGTCCCGAGGCTTCCAATGGGGTAGTAGAAGGCATAGGTGAGGTTGGATACATATATTCTGAAGGCAATAGGAGAAATGGGACCTGAGCGTGGCCCGAAGGCCAGCCCATGTGTACAGGGGCCAGACAAAATCTAATGTGACCGCCAAACGTCAGGTAATCACACAGACAAAGCATTACAACATAAACAAAGTATTACAATGCTAACCGTAAAACACCTGAGTAAGTTCCCTTCCGGCAATTCCCCTTCAAGCCACTGTTAAGACCTTAACATTGTGAACATGCAGAAGACCCTATCCCATGAAATTGTGCCAAATCCGTTTATCATCGACAACTCCAAAAAAATAAGTGACTGTGAAGTACATTTAATGTCAATGATTAAAAGTGTCTCGCAGGTCAGAGGCAGTATATAAAGTCGACTGACGTATTGGAGGAAACAACCGACATTACTCAGATCTCATTTTAGTCAGCACTCTCCCTTGTTCTCGTATTACATTTCATAATCTGTATTAGAAACCTAACAAAAACCTTGTAGGCAAAGTGTCGCCTAAAGATGCACATGAGGGAGACTCGAGCGATGGCGAAGATAAGGGCACTTATTTCACTCTTGTTTTAGGCGATTGACACGGCTGAGTCCTTAAAGCTGTACCTGTAATTCTTTGTTCATTTAACTTTCCGATTTTGGCATCCATCTTACAATTGGCTAAGTTGAACGATCTTCGGACCAAGCTAAAGACAACCTCTTCCCCTTCTCCTAAATACAAGCATTTAACCCCACTTACTGCCCTCTTCACGTATTGGAAAGTCCCTGAATGGTACGGAGTCCGTCATTTGACTACAACAGGAGCTCCAAGACAAAATAATATGACCTACTTTGATACACATATAAATGCCACAAGCTAATTTCATTGTTAACTAAACGAGTTTAATTGGACGTTGACACGCCACGATTGCCTGTCATTTTAGTTAAGTCAATGCTAAACAGGCCCATGCATCTCGATCACCTTGTGTCTGGTGGTTTCTTTTGCATTCCTTTTGGCTTTGTACGAGTGGGCTACGAGTGTACGAGTGTTCCGCTTGATGCTATGCCTTCTCCCACTTGGGAAAGGTCCTCAGGTGCTACAGTCAATGCTTTAGAAAATTGTCTCGATCAAAGAGTGCCTCCGTATTGTCGGAACCTGGTGATTTGAAAGTATGCAGATTATCAAAGAGGGCTGTAAGGCCGTGAGGTTGGATACATGTATTCCGAAGAGGACAGAGCAAGTGAACTTGAACGTGGCCCAAAGGCCAGCTCACAAGTACGAGGACCAGACAAATCCTAAAATGACCGCCAAACGTCACATAAACAAGGTATTACAAGGACAACTTCCATCTTGTATCAACAAACTAATATAATAACCGTTTAGGTACATAACTTATTTATGTTAAGCTGTTTTTAATTTCCTTAGTATTTAAGCTTTAATTCTGATGACCTCAGCCGTTGTTACGTCAAGGAAATAGTAGCTTCTCTGTTTTGTGTTAAGGTCACAGTTGTGGTTTTTCGCTTACACAGTCGCAGTACTACCCGTAAATGGGGGACAACTGTACAGATACACTAAACAAGCTTATTCAGCCTTCTTTCGATGTTAAGTTGAAACTGTTATCATTGATAAGTGAGAATGAACAGAGGATTGCAAAGCTTAAGGATATCGTAAATCTTGTTGGTTTTCTAATTTTTCGTTGACTAAGATATTGTTTGGAGAGTCTGCCGAAGCACTTTCAGTGTTCTCTTCTCATGGTGAGCACTTCCTTAAGGAAATCGACAGGATTCAGCATCAGCTAGCTATACTCGAACCAAGAGTCGAATCTTCGCTACAGACTGGGAAGGATTTGGCTGAAAAGATTATTCCAGATGTGCTTCAAATGAGATCTCTTCAGACTTCCCTTTCCGTTGCAGAAAGGGATGAAGCTGTCGCGCGTTACAGGTATTCATCATTTACCATTTCAATTTTTTCGCAAATGACGTATTCGTTTTTTAGATCAGAAGTAGTTGCGGCACAAGTACTTGGCTCCCTTGACATGGCTTTGGATTCCTTTTCAAATCTCTCACTGCACCTCGGGACTTGCGTCTCTTCCTCACTTCCCGTCTTACTACCTCTTCCGCTTTTTTACGGCTCCATGTTGGAACACTTTACAAAGTCGGTTTATTTTGTGTACTTTTCCCGTCTGAGTCATCTCTTGTCGATCTAGCTTTGAATTCTTTGTAGGTGTTTTCAGGAGACACTCAAAAAAATGGAATTGCCGAAGATAAGGGCAGCCAGTAATTGGATGGAAAATGGGGCTGATCGTACGAGTGATCAATGTCCCTGGGATGAAGATATCCTGAAGACTTTTCGTTCGTTGTTTCGAACTCTCAGTGATCTCAAACTACCGTATCCTTTCTTTTCTAGTTTTTCATGTCATGCGATAGATGCTTGACAGTTGTATGTTTGGGTTTTGCCCCGTCCGATTTGTATTTTGCGGATACTTGAATTTTATGGTCCTGTAGTCACCTACCACTGCTACCTTTATTTATTCTTTAGTCTAACATTACACGCTCCTTAGTGATCTTGCAACTATTCGGCAATAAGTTGGATTTGGGGAAAGTTCGTCATCATTGGCATCATAGTATTTTTAATGCATCTGCCATTTTTAATCGTGTTATCCTAAATCTGCTAGTTATGTTTCGGAAAGGCTCTAATCTTACTCACTTGGTGAAGTTGTGCTTATGTAACGGTTTTTCTAACAGGTTGTTGTTCTCTATCTTATTTTAAAAGGATTCGTTAAATAAGACTACTTCTGAATTTACCATCCCAGGGTAGATATTGTCTCTGTGCAAAATTCCTTCACCAATCCTTACAGACTTATTGCTCCAGTAGTAGGTGCACTTTGTCAAGTTTACGATTGAAGTTGGGGACATCTGTGAGGTCCTTGCGGCTTACCTTTCAGATACCTGTTTTGCATATTACTTCCTCGTTTACGCTTTACTGATGATACATTTACCAAACAATCCACGATGGGAAGCATTAGTGAGCTGGTACTCGCTTTCTCTTTTCCCTTCTATTATCTTACGTTTCCTTAAAATATGACATAGAGAAGGAGCTGCTGAAACTGATGCCGCAAAACGCGCCAAGTTGTCTGTCCCCGTGCGTCTCATCCTAGAGCCACTAGAAAAACGCTTTCTCTTTAACTTCTACGGCGACAGGATCACTAATAAACCAGAAAAGGTGGGCTCACATGCTGCAGCTTCCCTTTATTTTTACCGTTTTAGCCCGAATGGTACTTCACTGAGGTTTTAACTTGGATCACTATCAATGACCAATGGCTAACGTGGATGCAAGATGAACAACTCAGGGGTGCAGTCAAGACCTCTTCAAGTCTTAGAGTACGTCGTCATTTTGCTTCATTTGAGTCCTTTTTCCTCGTTTGTAGTTGGATTGATGGCTCCCTGAATTGATTATTATCCCCGCCTTCCTTTTGCAGGTAGACTTCATGCAAGGTCTCATAAGCTTTGTAGTGGACAAGATCTCCTTCGACCTTGGTCTTCTCAAAAGCCCTCCCAGGCCAAGATGTGCAATTCACCTTAAAGGCAAGCACGAAATCAAATCTTTTTTAAACCCAAAATCTTACTCGATTTCCAAACGTCAAAGCTAGGTCTCACTGTTTGCTTCAAAAGTACTACAATCGCGTAGATTTCTGCCCCTCTTGGTGCTATTGGTAATTTCTAGGCATAGTTTTGTACTGATAGATTTTTGATGGAAGTGTCATTTCGGGCCGTGATTATAATTGCCTTTGACACCATATCCTTGTGCCTCGAGTTTACTCAACCACAATTTCTGCCTCGAGTTGGTCATGGTGTTGGAGATTTAGCTACTGGGTGTTCAATTAGGTTTTAGCAGTATAAGACAAGCTTTATCGCTAGATGCTCTACATATCTGCTTTAAGCCATACCCTGACCAATTTGACTCATGCTTAATTCAAAAACGGGGCATCCTGTTTACTCTATCAACTCATCTTAACGCTTAATAGCCTTCTATTATCTTATTTCGGTCTTTAAACCTACAATGAGGATGCCTACTCTTGCGCGTAGAAGTCTGTGTTTCCTCACGTTCGACCTCATTTTCTTGTTCTAGGACCGGAGGGAACGGCGGAGACAGCTACGGATTCAGCAGACTTGACCATCGGACTATTAACAACACCTCCTCCATTTTTCGGCCACCTCACAGATGAGATGCTTACATTTGAGAAGTGCCTGGAGGGTCTGTGCTACCACCCACAGGCTCTTCGGCCTGCCGACCTCTTCACACATCGCCTTGACATCTTGCAACACTGGATCGCTCTTGAGAGTGACCTTGCTCACAGAAAACTCAAGGACCTTCTGGCTAAGCCGTATGCCTGGCGTGTGGATAACAAGTAAGACGAATGACTGACATCGGAACTTCTTTTTGTGTTGGGTTATAGGGCAATGTAAATGTCTTCCCAATTATTTTGCAGCTATTTTGTTGTATGATTCAACTGGTGCGTCGATCAGTCTATTCTTACCTGTTCTTGAATTTTGGTTCTATTGGGGTGGGGAACCAGAAAACAAGCAGCTGATGGATGTTGCTGAGACTTCTTGCCTTTTATCAGAGGAGGTAACTCAATGCACACCTCAACACCACATAATTATCAGTTGGAAAGCACTGCAAACAAATAAAAGGATTGCGCGAATAGTTTTTTGATGAATGATTAAAATTACACTATCTACGGCCTTCCATTGCGCAGAGTGCCTCAATGCGTGGGGGATTTCGTGACTCTTGTCTACTCCATCTCTCGCCGCGCTGTTCATCTGCACCATAAAGCTGCCAAATCGAGAGTCTTCTTTTTTAAGGTCCAACTTGACCTTGTCTTCACCTTTCTCGAAGCGATGACTGCTGCTCTGCCATGGAATACCACGACTAGTGCTGCTCTCGAAGGGATGGAAGATGAGTCTCGCGATCATCTAACTCGCTGGACGTCCATTCTCAACGCCTTGCACACGGTGGTCGAGACCATGCAGGAGTGGACCAATGACCAGGTTAATTACTCTCCGTTTATATACATTACACTCGATGCTTTCAATGCTTTATTGTTTTTGGAATTCATTTCACCTGGGAGTCGAATGATTTTCTACGTTAGCAGTTCACATTTGGATCAATGGTATTTTGTCCACGCTGGTGTTTTAGCGTGGCAATGTACAGGGCGGCTATCAGGGGGAATAATCTCTCTTCTTTCATTCATGGTTCAGAGAAACGGCGGACATCGAATGCTTATGATGTTGATGAAGAAGCTGCTCCAACAAATTTAAGTAGTTTCCAACCCACCTATATCACTTCCTGATCTTCTTGTTGTCCATTTTCGCATATTAACTTGTTAACCAATTTAACAATTTTAATGCATGGCTTCTCTGAAGTGGTGGAGGCGGGCGCATGCCACCAAGGGCAATACTTACTCGATGCAGTCGAATCATCTCTAGCACACAGAAGATCCGGGAAATTGAAAGTGTAGATGACATGAGCATGACCACAAACCCTCACCATCGTAGATACAAAAATCTCTACCTGTGAATGAAGTTCCCGAGAAACCATTTTAGCGGAAAAATTGCAGCGTTCGCTCCCACGCTGTTGAATGTAGTTGATTCTGCTATTCAGAGACTTACTTTTTTCAAATAAATGCGTGTATTTTACTCAGCGGTTTGTTTCATTCCAGTATTTTGTGGAACTTTGTGAAGATCCAGAGTCTCATCGACTTCTCACCTGTGCTTGGGATCCCTGGATGGACGAAGAGGTGGAGGTAATGGAGTTTATTCTTATTCTCTACATTTTTGCTCAACAGTCTTCGTTATGCAGGCTTGTCTTGATATTTTGAGGGTTTTATTGGGGGGAGAAGGGGACTTTTTAGAGGGCTTTAAGGCGTCTGTTCTTCTTTAATGTCGTATGTGTTATAATTGGAAAAGTTCTTTCTTGGGTTGCTTATACCGATTGCTTTCAAATGCACTCGACCTATCTCTGAAAGACTTACCCACTATTGATGATGTGCTGGGCGGCTGAGGGACTAGTAGCTCTTGTGACTTGATTTGAGAGTGGAGACAAAAGCCTGCTGCAAAAAGGCTTGCTTTACAGCTCTCATTTCAGTACTACGTTGGAATGGGTGGCGCATTGTTGGCATCCAAAATGGACAGATCCCTCCGTCAAAGATTGGACAGATTGATTCACCTCCGAAAGCGAGGACATATTTCGTACTGATGTAATATTTTAATTTTCACCCTGATGCTCCCAGTGTCACGACTTTTTCGTCTACTTTGGTCATTATTTAGCCTTGAGTGTCCAAAGGAGCCGGGAATTCAGCAAGATAAGGTTGAATTGCAGAAGACAATCTGCGAAGTTATTGTTCAAACAGACTCAATTAACCGGGTGCAAATCTTTTCAAATGTACTTTTTTCACGCAAAGTAGCCTAAGAATTGGGAGACGAACGGCTGGAAAACCATCACACGTCGACTATCGACTGCTCTGATGGAAGCAAAGTTATCTGAGGCTGCCAAAACGACGGCAGCCGTTAGACGTGGAATGCAGTGCCCAGGGGTCTTCTCTGAGGTGAGTCTTTTTGGACGTCATCTCTCCTACTTTCATTAATAACGAGCTCAGCCCAAATAACTTTTTTTCATCTGGAATTCACTTCTATTCGCTATTTACTTTCCTTTTTTCCAAGTGCCTTGTCGGTTTGTCTGAATGGTCTGCTTAACTGAATCACGACCTCAAATTTTGTTTCGAAAAAAATCTATTTGGTCTTATTAAGGTTTCTTATTCTAATTGACTTCACACTGAAACTCATTTTCATGAATTGCTTCGGTAAACCACTCAAAAGTCATTGTTTTACTCTTAGTAGCGGAGATGGAAGCTGGTAGGGCGTGGTAATTTAGAGTTTCGCCATTCATTAGCTTTTTTTCTTTGCACTATTACCCGAAAGTCCCTATTCTTTGTCATGAACCTTTTAAGCACGATACCCATTCACACGAACTCGACCCACCCCTAGTACCGGTTGGCATGTGGAACATGATAGTGGGTTAGTTAGCCAAAGGCTGATGGCTTTCTTGTAGAACTGTTATGAGATCTTGGAGATACCATTCTACTCCACCACTCAATTGTTGCCCCTCCGTCGTAAGTTCTGTGAACTTATTGAGCACAAAATGATCTGCTACTATCGGAGTCAAGAACAACTTCCGTCAGGATGGAAAATCGATGTAGCCAAGCATAACATGATTCGCTGATAAGTTAGTAAATTTAGAAACTAATAGCACTACCATTCATCCAGATTTCCGAACTCTACGAGTGTCGGATTCAAGAGAACCTACATCAGGTAGGTCAGAGTCTCTTCGGTCGCCTGCGGCGATTGGCACAGACCTACCTCAGCGATAGCAAGCAATGGTCGCGAGTGAACGGCTACCAGACGGTTACGACTACCACCACTTCATCGCCTCCAGCCACCGGTCTGTCTGGTCACATAGCAGAGATGTTTGTTCGCCTAAATTACGATCTTTCGGCCACTGCTAGGGCTCTTCTACCGCGTCTCTTCACCATTCTCTGGCAACCGGTCCTTCGAAGAATTAATCAACTCTTTTACAATAAGGTGCGTCATCAACCTGCTTTGGCTTTTGTTATTTTGGTCAGTCAAGATCGGAAGAATGTCTCATCCCATTTCTGATTATTTGCAATGCGGTTCGACTGAATCCTCTTGCGTCACTGAAGTCTGTGGTTCTGTTGCTTTCCTAATCTAGTTGGTGCTGGAGAATCGCTTCACCCCCGTAGGAGCGAATCAACTTCACTATGACCTGTATAACTGCCTACGTGCCCTTTTAATGCCTTACGCCAACCTCCTGGCGGTCGACGACCTCCTAGCTGAATGCTTTGATGCTTGCCGTTTGCTCAATCTCCCTCCTGGATCTATTCACTTGTTGAGGCAGTCTCTGCTCGCCACAGACATCTCTTCGGTTGTTCTCGGACCTCTTGTCGAACTAGGCATTCGTCGGCTCACTCCAGAGGATGCAATGGCTGTTCTCTCCCGCTACATCCCTCTAACCGCTATATGCGGTGGTGATGATAATGCTATGTTCTGAATCCAATTCAATAAAGTATCTGAGTTATTCGAATTTTGATCTTATCCGCTGTTTCTTTGTTCCTTCGATTGATCTCACACGAGATGCTTTTTCTCCTGTCTGTTAAGGCCGAGTCCGAATCTGCTGATTTTGACACAAATGCACTACAAGATCTTGCAAAGGAACATCAGAGGCGAGTTCGGCAAAAACAGGCTGACCTGGAGACTTGCGAACTTCGGGTTCTTAATTCAGTGTTCGACCTTGCCTCTCAAGTCAGTATAAATCTCAATGAGAAGGTTTCGAAGGTATGCACACACTGCAGATTTTGGAGTATTTCATTCAAATCTAAGTAGTAATGGCTAATAGATTTGTTTTAAACGTTCATTCTCTGTAACAAGAATCTGTCCTTGAAGAACGGATGTCCAGCTATGTAAGTATTGGCAAAATCCAGTCGCTGCTCATTGACTTTTCCTCCAAAGTGTAGTCATTTCCGTCATCTGCAACAACGAAACTATCACTTAACATGTTTGTCACATCGGCTAGCTCTTTTCTATAACTGTAATGCGTCAGTGTAGAGGTCACAAGGCCAAGATGTTACCATGATTTGCAAACGCCAGCTGCAGGTTTTTAATGGTTAACGCCGTATATCAAGCTTTCAGTAGTCACGTTTCCGCTTTGACTATAACGAAGGCTGTGGAGCGCTGTTAATCGCAGTGAAGTGATGATTGAAAATAAGTGTTTACTGGTGAGAACTGTGATCGAGACTGTGTTACTTTAAAAAAGTAAGAATGGTTAAACGATATCCTCCGTCGTGAATCTAGTGCGTGCAGACCGCTGCATTTAGGAGGCTGACCTTGGTCATTTGCTTCCTGAGCTCACTCGGAAATCATGCTATGGAACGTTTACGGCGCGTATTCTCTTGTAAGGTTTGGATGTGATTAATGGCTGTACAAATTTAAAATATTTCATTTTGAATAGGTTCGCTTACCGTTATTACCAATGGGTTCCACCTAAGGCCACATTAGAGTAGACGAAATAGTGTCGGAGATGCCAAAACTAGTTCATCTTTGTTCTCGTGCATTAAAAAAGGTCATCACTTCAGTGCTGTGGGTCGAGAGGCCAATGACTCTAGTAACAATGGTACAGTGGTTCGATTGTTTATGCCTTTGTCCCACCAGCATTGACTTTGTGTGGGATGTTGGTTTTTCAGGCTTACGAAAACCAATGTCGTCTGAACACAGAGGTGAAGAGACTTTGCTCTAACATACTGACCTTCAGTCGACAAGTGGATCTGTGGAGTAAGGAGATTTTTGAAATCAGCTCAGCTTTGAAGGAGCTTGGAGACGCTGAGACATGGTCTCAAAAACTTTGCCGAGACGTGCAGATAATCCATGATACATTGGAAGCAGCCGATAAATAGATGCGTGGTGTTACTTGTCTCCATATTATGTTTGTCTCACAGGTACTTTAATGTTTATTGAGGTTGTGCTTCCAAACACTGCGACTCGGTAGTTTGACCTTCAAGTGCATCGCTGAGACGGAAGGATGCATTTTATCAAGTAGGAGATATTACATATCTCAGAGACTACATGCGGCTTCATGTAAACGTGGAATTTAGCTGTAATGCATTGTTTATATAACTACCTGATGTTCGGCAGTCACTTTAGGAGTTGTCTATCTCTTGTACTCGCAGGGTGGCCTTCGGGCCATGCTCAGGCCATTTGCTCTGTTCTCTTCGGAATACATGTATCCAGCTGCACTTACAGGCTTCTTGCACCCCCCATGGGAATTTTCGAGACGCTACACTGGCGGCAACGGGAAGCGAATCCAACATTTTTTTAGCGACCTCCTTACTAGCATGTACCGTTTGTTTGCATGTAAGTACGGTGTGGAGGAGACGCATTTAAAACGGTGGCGGGAGAACCCCTAAATCCTTCACAACAAAAGGATATTTACTGAAGTCTTCACTTAATTTTACCTTATTCTCGTGTTCCACAGACAAGCTATTAGCAAGTGAAGTGACACCACAATCTCTCCTACAACATCCGTGCATAGGTGTCGGAAATTGCATTGCGGTTATCCTCATATAAGGGACAGTGGTAAATCCCTTTTTCCCTGTAGCATCTGTTGTAGACTCGAGTTCCACCGGCTATTCCTGGAAGAAATTGAGAGTCAATAGGCGTATGCGTAACGTAACTCTAGATCCATTTGAAGCTGTCGAGAAGACGAGGTACGGTTCCTCAGTCTCGTGTTGTCTGTCGACTGGAGCGGTTGGCTCGTGGGTGCTTTCTTGTAGTACTAAATGTGTTGTGATGGCTGGCGCAGGAGGTGTACCAAAGGGGAGCGATGAGGACGTCGCTCAAAAGAAGAGAGGGACAGTGTAATACTTTGTTTATGTGACGACATGACGTTTGGCGGTCACTTTAGAATTTGTCTGGTTCCTGTACACGTGGGCTGGCCTTGGGGCAAGCCCATACCCATTTGCCCCGTCATCTTCGGAATACATGCGTGCAGCTGTAAGTACTGACCTCTTATACCGGCTAGGAAGTCTGAAGACGCTACATTGGTAAAGATCAGATTTCGAAGGTCGACTCAATCGGGGGTGTTTTGCATTTGTCGGTACCTAAAACTTCCTCTGAGTGGTCTTGAAATACGATTACGACTTGGACATCGCAACACTAACCACGCGATAAAAAGGTAACAAGCCTGTTTTTACGATTAATTTCGCGTCTTGTGCAGCCGATAAAGTTGCATTTCGCCCTATTTCCAACCCTTGTTTTAAAAATCACAAGACCATTCAGAATACATTTTCCTTCGACTTAAGTTGCAGTGCAAAACAATCATAATCAAAAACAATTGATGCTTAGTGATTCAAACAACAATAATAATTTACATCTTATTCATAATGAATCACTTCGAAATGATTGAGTTTTAATGTGCCGCAACATGACCCTTCACTGTGAAAATTTGAGCACGCCATAGTCATGGGCAAGTCGCATAAAGAGAGTAAGAGGAAGAAGGCTTCCGACGCTGAGGTATGCTTAGTTATGTGAAATTCATCCATAATAGTCAGAGACGCAGGCAGAAACGTACGTCATTCAATCTGAAGATACAACTCCGAAACTAGATACATCGAATTGGCCACTTCTGCTCAAGGTAATGACAAATTCTTCACGATGGGATGATTTAGAATGTGCATCTGATGAATGTTCGGGACTGTCATTTTGAACCTAGTGATCGGGGCTACTCTCCCTTGAATCGACCCCTCAGTGAATACATAAAGTAGAGCTATTTAATGGTACCTGATTTCCATAGGCATGGTGTCATCAACTTGGATAAACCATCTAACCCGTCCTCACATGAAGTTGTTGCGTGGGTGAAGCGCGCCTTAAAAGTGGAGAAGACAGGTCATAGTGGCACTTTAGACCCTAAAGTCACTGGTTGCCTTATTGTTTGCATCGACAGGTCTACTCGTTTGGTTAAATCACAGCAAAATGCGGGCAAAGTTTACATTACAATATTCCGCCTTCATGAAGGTGCACCAAGTTTAAAGCGTGTTCAGCAAGCCTGTGAAACATTAAGGGGCGCCCTCTTCCAGCGTCCGCCGGTAATTTCTGCTGTCAAGCGACAACTGCGCATTCGGACAATATTCCGTAGCGATTTACTGGAATACGATCAAGAAAAGCGCATTGGATTGATTCGACTTGATTGCGAGGCTGGTACTTACGTTCGAACATACTGTGTTCATCTTGGCCTCATGCTTGGTTGTGGCGGCGTCATGGAGGAACTTCGGAGAATCCGTTCCGGAATTCTCACAGAGGAAGATAACATGGTTACTATGCATGATGTTCTCGATGCTCAATGGGTTTATGAGAACTGCCATGATGAAAGTTACTTGCGTCGGGTTATCATGCCCCTGGAAAAGTTGCTCATCGGTCACAAGCGCATAATGGTGAAGGATTCGACTGTCAGTGCCCTCTGCTTCGGTGCGAAGCTTATGCTTCCTGGCATTCTTCGTTATGATGATAACATTAATATAGGTGACGAAATTGTTCTCATTTCTACCAAAGGTGAAGCGATTGCTCTTGGTGAGTTATTGTTATAGCCTCGTGGAAGGTATTTCTTGACTGTTTTATTTTAATTATTATTTCCTCTTTGCTTTAGCTATTGCTAACGTGGTCACCGCCGCGATAGCAACGTGTGATCATGGTCCCGTTGCTAAACTCAAGCGTGTGATTATGGACCGGGAACTTTATCCTCGTCAATGGGGACTCGGGCCCGTAGCGACACGACGCAAACTAGAGCGTGCCATGCTAAACCAGGGAACGCCTGGTGCAAGTGAAGTTGAGGCGAAGAAAGATCCGTAAGTTGCTTGCATGGTATCTTCTCTGACCTTCATTTAGGGCAAAGAAGTCGAACCTTGGCGAGGAAGGCGGAGCAACGTCGTAAGTTTCAGTGGTTTTACTTCTGCCTCGTTATTTTTAATATTTGGATAATGATTTAATGCATATTCATCTTCTCTGACTCATTTAGGACAAAGAAAAAATTGAATCTTGACGAGGAGGACAGAGTTGCATCGTACGTTTCATTGGAGGTGTATTTTGTCTTTTTCTTTCTAATACCTAAGTAATGGTTTAGTGAACGATTCGTAGGTTGCTTATTTATTGTCTTTGATCCTCATTTAGGGCAAAGAAGAAATTGAGCCCTGACAATGGGGAAAGGGTCGCATCGTAAGTTTCATTGAGGTGTGCTTTTGCCTCATTTTTTCTAACACTTGCGTAATAATTTGGATTTGAGTGAGTTACATGGCTTGTAATGAATTTGTTTTTTGGTTACAAATTTTGTTGGATTTTAAGTCGTCCATTCTCTCCGTTTAGGCCGCCGAAAAAACGGCTACGTCAAGCCTCCTCCTCTTCCTCATCATCGTCGTCGTCGTCGTCGACGGATTCGAGCGAATGAAAGTAACGGCTTTTTCAATTGCACTTTGGTGGCTTACCATTACTGGGCCTAATCAATGTTATTTCTCTTCAGATGGTCTGGATGCATCTACCTTGGTCTTCTGTATATACGCCCATTCTATCTACGCGCATTTTTTCCACTTGAATTTGCTATGAAATATACAAGGCTTGTCTTGCAGTGTCTATTTTCCGTTTACTCGTCTGGTTTCGGCAATAGTCTTGAAGTGGGGAAACTCTACGCATAGTGAATATGATCGCATGTGGAGATTCTATGACATTTGATTGTCAGCTTTCGCTTACCAAATTGTCTTGCTCCCGAGTCGAAGGTTTTCCATCCTTGGTTGCGGTCTATTCCGATTAGACGGTACTATCAGATGCATTATACTGATAGCATGCTGAGTGGGTGTCTGTGTTTTTGTTTTTAGTCTGTCGATTCCCTCCTGTTCCATCTGAAATGTGTCTGGTGCACTTGGCTTGTTGTCATTTAGGCTTGATTTGTTGTGTGAGTGGATGTTCGTTGGTGAATGAGCGACTACTCGACGGTAAGTTTAGCAAGTGATAAATTCGTAATTCTAAATAACGCTCTCGAAATAGGTTTCGATTTTGCTCTATAACCTTAGCACAATCCATTTCGGTGTGTACCTCTTACGAAGCCTCTTCCTCATACTCAGGATGGTTTCTTACGCCTTTTGTTTTAGAACAAGCGTTTATCCCCTGTCTAATGGCTTAATGGCATTGCATAATTACGTGATTTTGATTGTTGTCTACGTGTAATAGTATGAATGGATTTCGGCAATGCACCGGCGTCAAAGAATAGCGTCAATGATCCGCAACGCATAATTTTTCGTCTAACACTGCTCCAAGGAGAGTTTATTTAACGTACGTGGAGTTAGCACTTTCGCAGTCACTAGCCCGATGACTAAGCTGCTTTATCAATTTTGAATTTGCTACTCGGACAGCATCTGTGACATCTCTGTGTCATCCTTTGAGGTGTATTAGGCTATGTTGACGTGAAAAGGTGGGTCGACGTCAGTAAAGCGGGTCTGGTGATTGAGTAACCAAGACTGGCATTGTAGAGACTGAGGAATTTGAATTAATTAATTGCACAAGGCGCAACAAGTTGCAATTTCGAACTGGGCTTCGGCACCACTGTCACAACGGAGTAAGACTCTGCAGCCAATCTGTTGACTAAATCCCACAATACTTCTGTCAAACGACCTATCCTGTCTTGACATTCATCTGGTCGTGGTTTCGTAAGAGACCCAGAATAAAAGTAGTCATTCCTAATTTTGTTCCTCAAATTTTAAGTCAAACAGCAACACTGTTCGAATCAATCCCTTGAAAGCAAGGCCATCGTCTACACAGCTTAACTTACAGGAGTAGTAGCAATGTGATACCTCAATTTGACCTGCAGAAGATCCTGTTTTTAACTGCTGTCTCGCAGAACGACTTGCTTTAGGTGGAAACGATCACATTCTTATTCGATTTTGTGGACCGCCCGGCCTGTTTTAGTTTTAGTTCCCATTTCGTCGGTTTTGGATGCTGTCTGAAGCGTAAGGGATGGTGTGTGAAGTAACAACCCGAGACAAGGGTGGAATAAAGCTTCAAAACTCTGAATTCTGGCGCAAATATAAAATTTTAGCATGCAAAATCGTATGGGCGTAAATGGTTCCTGTGATGTTCTGCGACGTTTCAAGTGCGAATTGTGCTAGTGCCTCACCAATGCTTTAAACCAATTCTGCGGTCGAAAAGTCTTATGGATTTCAGCAAGTCTGCTCAGTGCGTAAAACATGTGGCCTCGTTTGGTGCAGCGGGTCCAGATGTTGATATCAGTGCCCGTTTTAAAATTCATTGAGGTCACCAGGTCACCTTTGTGACATCGCTATGCTGACTAGGGCACCAAATTAGTGTCTGACTCAGGAGTTGGTGACTCAAAATGCAATTGTTTATAGTTTTTTTTTTAATAAATACGAATTTCTACAGGATGTAAGCGCCTGCTTAATTACCTCATGACTCCTTAATTTGCCTCGCAAATTTGCCAACTGACTGCACAGCCTGTTCACTTGGTAGGGATGGTGTGGTGGGACTCAAACTTATTTTATGTCGATTGTCCTAAGAGACTTCCTGTAGATTGTGTTCAAGTACGAGTTGGAGATTTCAACCGAGACCAAAAAGACTGATGTTGAACTTCAAAATGTGGTACATAACCGACATTGAATGCACTGCAGACTGTCGTAGGCTTTCTGAATTAATCTTATTAACTGGGTGTATTAGCTCAAAAGATGGTTAATACTTTACCTTCTGAATCACAACATCTCCTCAGCTTGTTAATGTTGAAGATTAAAGCCCAGTTGACATAGTTGACCATATCCATCTTTATGGCAAATGACCTCAGGCTGATGGTATCCATGTGCCCTTGGAGGTAGAACTTAACAGACTTGAGTTCTGCTACTCTTTGGAAAGTTGGAACATTCAGCTTGATCTTAGAACCAAAATTACGTATCGGCAATTGACGGCCCCTGTTTCCATAACCTCTGCAGGCCAAAAAATCAGTATAACCTGGATTTGGTGATGGTCTTTGTTCGTCAGACTGAACTATTGGTACCGTCGTCAAGACTCGACAATCCCTAAGGTATTTTTATCCTGAGATCAAATTCATCTACAAATATTTGCAAACTTAAACAGCTGATGCTTACAGATGCAGATAAAACAAGACAAAGTGATTGCCACTAGTCACCGTATGACGAGCTCACACTATCAGACTTCAATTGCCTCCACTTCGCAAGACAAGATTTGCTTGTGATGTTCTATAGGCACAAGTGTCCTCTTCACTTCCTAAATGTCAAAAGGTCGACATAGTCTAAGCAACGGGAAGTCTTTAAATTCCACCTGAAAAATCCGTGCGTTCATTCGTTAGCGAATGGGGAAGACAGCCCACGCGACCCCCACTTATCGTCCCCTTCACTCTCCTGCGATATTCTCCCAAGCGCTTTGTAGCAGAGTAGACAGTTGTAAAATAAAAGTAAGGAAAGCGCTGAGCTTCTTCTTCAAAGTATAAGCTAATTGATTACAAGTTCAGCTGACTGTCAAGGTCCGCCTGGTTTTGCGTGTCTTGTAGCTCCTTGTAAGCTGACCTCCGCAGTACTCCCTTTGCCATTGAGCCATTCTGTTCGTTTGCAGTCTCTCTCAAATCTATAACATTGCCTCAATCCAAACAACTAGCCAAGCCCTTTCTCCCATCATTTCGTTGGTTCACATTGAAAGAACAAGACAAATCAGAAGTCACGTATTCACTTCTGGGAATAATACATGAAATAAGGCCATTGAAATTAATAAAAGACAGAATGAGAGGGCGAGGATGCTGATACCATGTTCCATCCTTAAAAGCGTCAAATTCGATGGAGGGAGAGGAGAGGCATGTTACACCAAAGAAAGAAAAACAATACTTGATGACCTCCTGTTCTTCATGACCCTTGTTGAATAGCTCCGTTTGTACAGCGAGTAGATAGTGTGTGTAGAGGGGAGGTATTGGAAAGAGGAGAGGGAAAGCAGTAGGAAGAAAAAAAGCAAAATAAAACCTAAAAGATTAACACATCGTAATGATCAGATGAAAGGACAAAATGCATTGCTTGACGAGGCTTCTACACACTATTGCACGTCATGTTTGCCTTTATGCCTGTCGCGTCAATATGGAGAGAAACGTTGGTAACTTGAATTTGTCCGATAGATGCCTGGAGAGTTGGCATTAGCGACATTCCCAAGAGCTGCGTAGCTCACAGCAAGTCGATTCAGGTAGGGATCCACCCCAGCGGCCACTGCATTCAAATCTGGCAGATACCTACAAGTAGACGCAAGATGACCTATATGCTCACCTCTATAAAAATGGACCTAATATCCGCCTTCAGCCACGCTCTTTCCTGCCTAAATTAATCAGCTTTAAAGTGTTCGTTTCCAATGATACACATGAATAAAAAAAATCTGATCTCGCCATTATTACAATCAAACTATCATATCACATCTCGACGGAGAGAATGTACACGGTACTTAAGTAAACAACTGAATGTAAAATGAATATAAAAGCCTCCAATGTATCACAAAAAGGAGACATTTTGACCATTAACCAAGCCTTCATATTTGCGATCGGAACAGTGAGCAAGTCACTGTTGCAACTATGCCTTCCGTCCTGTGCGCAATAAAGATGACGCTAAGCATTAGTGGTTTCGACTACTAATTAGTGAATATTAAGTAAAAATAGAAAGTTAATGAGGAGCAACCTAGTGAAAGGAGCTCCCTCAACATCCGAAAAGGCTAAATTAAGGCCACCCAATGGATGGAATACAATGTGACAAACTGTCTTACTCAGCAAATAAGGAAAACAGCCCGATACTAAAAATGATCACATCGAGTGCACTTCTAAAACAATCTTGGCTTGAAATGTCCCCACATTGAAATAAACATGATTTAATAGTACACTAGTCCCGCAACTCAAGCCGAAATTTAAAACAAGCCACATAGACAACGAAATTTACTTTAGCATTGTGATTCGACCATATAAATACTCCTCGATCCACCCCAGAGGTCCAACGCATCATTGATGAGACGTTTGACCTTTTGCACCCACATACGCCCCATCAACGTTTATGCTAAGTTAAATTATGCCTTCAGATCACTTCGAGTTCGTGGTGTTGAACAATACCTAAAACTATCCACAAATGCCCAATGGAGAAGAGGACTGAAAGGCAAATGATGGTTTAATTTATTATGGATCTGCGATTGAACCAGTCCAAGAGCTTTTACTAATGGTTCTAAAAGTTAACCTACTGCTGATTTGCTGCAGCTGCCAGAGCAGCCATAGTGGCCTGGCTATTCGCGCTCCCATTGGTGGCTGCCGCAGCTGCTGCTGCAGCAGCCGCTGCAGCAGGAGAGTTCGATGCAGCAGTAGTGGATGGTGGTGAGGTGGAGGTAGCACCAGAAGCGGCGGTGTTGGCACCAACTACAGCGGGCTGTGAAGTGGTCTGCGGAACTGCAGAAGTCGCCCCACTGAAGGCGCGGAGCATCGCAGCAGCAAAGGGGTTTGCTACAGATGTGGGGACACCTGAGGCTGCTGCGCCGCCCTGTGCACCCCCTGCACCTGCAGCGAGACCAACCGCGGCCAAATTAGCGGCCGCCAGAGCTGCAGCTGATTGTTGGGCTGCTTGAGCTTGTACTTGTTGCACCTGAGCCTGCTGCTGTTGAAGGCGCTGCTGTAGCTCTAATTCGGGTGAAGCACCGTACCAGGACTGAAAAAGACACACACGGAGTCACAGACGTCGCTGTAGCACTTCATTTGGAGAAATAATGTGAATAAAGCTTAAAGAGGAGGAGAAATTGACCTATTACTCATTCCCGTTCTAGCGTCTTAATTTATCGTTAAACATTATTATCTGTTATCAAACAGCAAAAGCATATCTAGGCTCACAAGGTTAGCAGCCAACAATTGAGCAGCTGGTTGAGCAGCAGCGGCAGCTGGTGACTGCATTGCCATAGGAATGGTCCCTGTTGCAGCAGCTGCGGCGGCTGCACCATTAAGAGCGGCGGCATAATGGGTTAGCAGTGCCGTAGTTGGATCTGCCGCAGCAGCTGAGGCTAAATAGAGTGCTGCTGTTGGATTATAGGCGGCCGCAGCTGCAAGCAACGCCTGATTGGCCGCTGGTGATACCGCTGCCGCAGGATTGGCTGAGGCGGCTACCAACCCAGTTGTACCCAAGCCAGCCAATGTGGAACAGCCCCTCAGAGCTGCTGCCAACGCAGCGGCATTCGACACTGCCGGCGGTAGAGCATTCCGTATGCCTCTCAGTGTCGTAGCAGCTGGAGTTTTGGAATAGAGAGTAAATGGGCACACGAAGCCACCAGTGAGAAAAATGCAGTTTTGACTGGGTAAAGTGAATACGAGAATCTAATATCCGCATCAAAACTCACTTTTCATTAGTGTTGGAGCCTCTGACTTCTTCTTTGTCATAACACGTGCGGTTGCATTGTTTATCTATACAAATAATTCAATAAATCAGGCAAACATGCAGAAAATGAGGAACATGATTACACAGGAACACATAAGGGAGAAGTGACGCACATTCAAAGTCATAGCCACCATCACCAATATTATTCGCCAAACAATCAGTAAAGATACCTTAAATTGCTGCCCACTACAGCATGCCAGTGGCAAAAAGATATAGACAAGTGTATACATATGAGCTTCACCTAGACATCATGGGTATTACCCACTGGCACTACAAATGCAATTAACGGGAACAACACTTTTCAATGCAGCAAAAAACAAGGAGTTAGCCAATTTTCTCTTCACCGTGAAACAATTCACAAGCCGAGGCTAAGACATCGCTACCACGAGACAGAAAAACACCGCTTAATACGCAGAACCGCGTCTACTCTGACATCCCAGAGTTCAGGCAGTATTCATAAATGGGTAGGAGCATGGCATGGGCAGATTTACTCCTTGCCATAGAACATGCGTGAAACTGCTCAATTTGTTACTCATTTTGTTCTTTAAAGAGGCACATAATGCATACTCCCACAAACAGACTGTAATTCTCTCAGCATGTATGAATAAGTACACTCGTGCAACCGATACAATTCGATTCCAGTAAGGTCAATAGTTATGCTACAGGCGTCATTCGAAGCAAGGGACACTGAGTACCCCAGAGTGCCTTTATCATATCCATGCGTGAACACGGCCTAATTACACACGGACAGATGACATAATGATGGCAAAGATACTAAGCTGAATGTAATGCTTTTCTCACAAATTGCAGAAATGAAGAGAGGGACAGCTGCGCACGGAAAATTCACGCAGTTCACACATGCACCCACACATTGATGTGTGTGTACGTGGGTGTATCGAGATACGAGCGAAAATAACAGCAAAGAACCAATCATCGAATGGATTTGGGGAGCGTGGCTGCACAAGCAACATAGTTCGTTTCGCCTTTATTGACTTGCTGATTGATTACCTTCTGTAAAGGGATCTCATGGCTCGAGCTAAAATGTCAAAGGGTAGAGTCTTGAGTACGCGTGCCACTGCCTGTTGTCAACGCTCTTATAAACACTTAGATACTCTCTTGTACATCTGAAGCCTCAGAGCCTCATGCCACTTCATTCAACGAAGCCTTTGCATGCGATCGGTGTAGGTCTTAGGCTGTCTAGGTATACGACCAATTTCTTACAGGAATCATTCGTTCGGACAGGATGAAGCAGACATTGTCAAGATGTAACTGAACCCATTATGACTATTTAAGAAACTGACATGCTTTCAACCACTGTACAGCCAATACCTCAAACAACACAATTATAAGCAAGCTGAAATGATTAAAATAAGTCCTCACCTCAATTTTCCGTCCCTCAACTACTGTTCCATTGAGATTTTCCCGGGCCTTATCGGCCTCCTCAGGTGTAGCAAAGGTCACGAAACCGAAACCCTATTAAAATAAAGGAACCCAAGATTACCACGTGAGCAACGGTAGGCAGATTTCGGACAACATTTGTGCAGCACCACAACGGTCTCTGTGACCCATTAAACTCTTGCATCGACTACGTCTAGCTCCACCACTTCATTTATAACTAGTCTATATTTAATAAACTCGCATCTTTAAGGCAGTAGTGCAATAACTAATAATACAGTTGATAGTAGATTGTCAGCTTTGCATTCATGCATGCAGATCAATTTTGGTGCTCAATGTCTCTAGCACAGATTCTGGGAGGAATTTGTTTAATTGCATCTACATTGAACATTGTGATGAGCGGTAAATATCAAGTAAAAAGGACAATAAAGGAAAAGACCAACGAAGGTGCATGTAATCGAGGCAATGTACCGCGTGCCATGCTTGGTTGCAGGCCTTCCCCCACGAGGGTTCATGCAATATCGCATCCCGTGGGCATTGTATCGATGTCAGAACAACTACTTGCAGAAGTTTCAGTAGCATTCAAGGTGTATAGAAAAGCAGGCACATGCGCTAATGGATTCCAGATCCATGCGTTGGCATTTTTTTGGCACTTTGAATGGCAGTGTATGCAAGCCCACACACACACGTACGCACGCGCAAGCACATGTATAATAGGAACGGGAGGGCGAATTAGCTGCGATGCATGTGCACTCTAGTCGATCAACAATAGTGCATGTGTCACGACCATGCAAAATGTCATACAGGTGGCTTCCTCCATGGGATTCTCTTTTCCTTATATAACCTAACGATGCAATCTGCCTTAGTAATTTTCGAAACGGTATAAGTAGTGGGTGGATACACTTGTACAGAAAGTCATTTCAACAATCGAACCAATCTTGAAAGCACATGATTAAACTAATACTCCCTGCTATACGACATTGCAGAAAAATGATACACTCCTGCTTTAAAGTCCTGGGTAGATAATGGTTTTTAAATCAGAAACCTAGGGAGATTTCATTTCTGCAGGAAAACAGAGGATCATAGTTCTAATAAGTACAGTCCTAAGAGAACCGGAATACTCGAAGCGATTCAATCAAGCGTGGACATGCGCTCAGATTAGATGGACGGACTGAACGGGGGAGGGGAGAGCGACGCATATCTTCCACAGTACACCAGGAGTGAGCATACTTACATTTCCCCAATCAAATCTGCAGAGAACGTGAACAATATTCAGCCACATTATTGCCGTGTTGATAGTGAGGTCAAAATACACTGCAATGCTTATGAAGCTGTCGCTGAGATATTCAAGGTAGAAAATATCAAAACTTGAAGCAATCTATCTTGAACAGCTTCATGCAAATCAGATCGGTGCTCGGATTAGGGTCTCAAGGCACATGCGTGCGCGTGTGATTGCTCAGGTTGCCTCGATTCATTAAAGTGTGCGTGGCTGTGTATGCACAAAGTAGAGAAAACACCAAATTGGAAGGAAGTTAAACCGACCGGACTATGATGAATAGGTCGTGTACGCGCGCACACACACATCCACACGCACGTGTTGGCAACCAATCAAATGAAAAAAAGAAGAAATAAACAGTGAGTTGGGTTCTGATTGGGCGAAAGCGCACTGATACGTGCGCATATACACATGGGGAAGAGCGGAGGTATGCGCCTCTAGTACGTAGCCCCGATTACCGAATAGAAAGACAGATGGAGAAGGGGAAAAACTGAAGCTTGGAATACACGTGTACGGTCCCAAATGGAATGTACCGTTTTGGGAAATCCTGTATTCCCGCGAACTGTTGGACTAAAATCCGAAGTAGCATCGAAGAGTTAAGGGATAGTATTCACTGGTGGAGCGAACATGTATGCAAAAAAGCTACACTTAAGAGTACACACTAACACGTGCATCTGGCATTCGAAAGGTAAAGAGAGGTATCATTCAATGTGCTGCTACAATTGCAGGCCTCGCTATTGCAACACGATGCTTGGACAACCCTGAAAAAGGCCTTTAATAAGTGAAAAATATCCGAATAAACCATGAAAGTACACATACTTTTGAACCACGCTCGTTGAATATGATCTCTACGTCCAAAATAGTTCCAAAAGGCTATAATTTAAAAAAAGAAAGATTTATTTCGGTGAAAGACAATTGGTCTCCCTACACCTACACTGGTTTTCCTAGCTACACCTGGGATTTCTCCTAATAGAGAAAGTGGCTACTTGACCTTAGAGGGACAACTAACAAAAGGAAGTAGGGACTTTGGCTACATTTGTTACAACTAAGCCAGAATTATGGTTAGCTGTATGAATACTGGGATTGAATGTTTTTGAATTGAAAGAGGATCCGTCAATGAATCAGAAAGTCCGTGCTAAGAGAACGAGGGGACATGATTCAAGATTTGGGGTAAAACTACAACAGCAGACTAACTATCCTATGGAGGCAAATAGTAGCGGTGTTCTAACAAGAGCGAAATGATCTTGGGTAGAATGGAAAAGAACTTGAAGTTAATGCTCACGCCAAGGAGTTGTCGAAGATCAGCTTCGCGAAAACGGAAAGGGATATTAGAGACGTGGAGGCGTTTGGGTCCAGTAGACGTCAGCGCAGCTATGCTCTGGGCAGCCGAGGCGGAAGTGGGGCTAACAGCAGAGGTGGCAGTAGAGGGGACAGAAGTGCCAAGACCGGCCATTTGATTCTTTAAGTCATCTGTAGTCGATTGACCTTCATTTCTTTCCTCTCCACCACTGCTCTCCAAGTGGGCGACTTCTCCACCGTCTTCCAGCTTGAGTGACTACATGAGTAGCATACAATACAACTAGATCACCTCTACGATAAAATCATGATCGACTTATAAAAAATCTTTCCATGCCGACTCCAAACGACTGGAACAGAGTAAGACCAAGAGTTAATAGACAGTACAAGCAAAAAAATACTGCTGTCGAGTAATTTGCGAAACAGCAGCTCCGAAGGAGCCAATCCGCCTTTTTCCCCAATAATTACGACGAGGCCTGGAGTGCATTACATGACATCGTCCAGTCACTTCATCCCACATTCAATCGTCACCAACTCCTCACAGTCACCCCAATAACTTCCTCATCTTACCAGTCATATTTATTGCCTGTACAAACAGAAATACTGATGACGATGAGGATAAAGAGGGGGAAATTTTGTGCTCGTGCCGACATCAATAGGGAAGGCGATGCTGTCCAGTCCTGGCGAAAGACTATGTAAACTAGCAAAAGCAACTCTCTTAAACGACAAGCACGTTCATCAATATCGTCATCCACTTCGTGCACTACCACTGTCAATGTCCTCTCCACAGTCCCCACGTCAACCCCATCTCATCACCATAAATCACGTCAACCATCCCCCTCCCTCCGCAATGCCTCAACAAGCCATCACTATCGCCTCCTACCAACTCACCTCACCTCGTCTCGCCTCCTTTTGCCGCATAACAACAAACATCCATTTGTTCACGTGCAAAAGAATACAGTTAAGCTAAGGTAAGCAAGCAAATGAACAAACATTCCCAAAACAGACGAGTGGACAAGTCGGGATCAAAAGTGGCTGGCGGACTGAAGATAAACAGTAATTCATGGGCATGAAATTTGCAATCACCTTACATCGCGTTGTGTGGACGAGATGATGTGTCGGCGGTAGCACTTATGCCATTGAACGAAGCACTATAGGCGACTATTACTACTAACTCTTCGTATCCACAATAAAACCAGCAAACTTATCCAACTACCTTATGAATAGATAGGTTATTAGAACTGAGGCCTCGCATTTTTATTGCTTTAGCGACCTCACATTAAAATAGAGGACTCGTTAGTTTCCGAAGCTAATTTTTCTCTACAGACCTACGTGACAGGCACATTCGTACTAAAATTGCATAAAAATTTCTTGTTAAAAAAATCGAGGAGATAAGCGCGATGATATGCCTCAAAAGGACACTATTTCAGGTCAAAAATGAATAAGCAATTCAAGATGATGTAGTTGCCATCATTGCTGCACAAAAAAGGGTACAATTTTTTAAACTCTAAATCTTGATTGTAATACAATACTGTAATAAAATTGAAACAGACGATGCTAGTAAACAATTAAGACATGTAACTTCTTAGTTGACATCTAGCTACCTTTGAAATAAGACAACTTACCTTCACCATCTCTCCGGAAGGCCCCTCCACAGAGGAGGCAAAGCAGCCTTCAGCATTCGCAGAGGACCCATGGAGCAGCCCGTTGATTCGCATTGACTCTAGTAATGACGCGGCAGCATTATGCTGAGCCCCAACATCCACTTCAGACGCCCCAGACGTTGATGCTGATGCCGCAATCGTAGCCGTGGCAGAGGTGATAGTGGCGGTGGAAGAAGACCCCTCCGATGTTGTTGCTGGAGTCTCATTACTATTAGACTTGGCAGCAGCGTTGGAAGCAGCGTTTAAGCCGGTTGCTGGAAATGTGTACCCAGCTGTGGACATCTGCTGAGGAAGAGTTGAGGCAGCAGAGGGATCCAATGGATTAACTGGTGTTGGGAAGAACAACTAAAAAAGTAGGATTGAAGGAGACAGAAAATTAGAACTAATAGCCTTTCGTCCCTCTCTCAATCCGGCTGGTATTGGACTACGGACCTGTCATTTGTGCTATCAGCACGTCGACCTTACACTCTCCTACTACAAGAGCTGGGTACCTTGGGACCCCGACCTATTCTATCCAGCTGAATGCACCTCTAGTTCACGGGGTAGAAGTTAACACGAACTTCACCTTAAAACTAAACGCCACCAGACCTCCGTTTCACAGTGAAGGCAACGCCCGTGCACCGGTTTATTGGGTTTGATCCCATAAAAACTTTACTGTCCAGATGCCATGAGGACATCAAAATCCAATTCGAAAGTGCCTAGTGGTCTCGTCAACGGCTTTCCAAGATAAGATAGAACAACAGCAAGAATTAGGAGTTTCATCTTTTTCCAGTTCGGAAATGATACTTAGCTGCTATAGCAGCTTCTGAACGAGTAACTAAAAAATTGCACGAGTCCAACTATGAATTAGGGTGCGACATAACCTTTTAAGCATAAATCTCCATTCAGCACGATTAACTTACTACGATACAAATCGAGTTGATGCAGTGCTACTTCTGATTTTACGAACCAGTTAGCCAATAAAATCGAGACGGAGGTGGAATTGGGTGATTTATTTGGGTTACCCACTCGGAAACCGAATTGCACATGAGAACAGAGGAGTTACAACTTTAGCCTCAAGGAAAAGGAACAGAAGCACTTACGAGGTTTCCTGCGCCTAGAGTCGGAGGGGTAACAGTGTGAAGGAAGTTCATCGATCACAACACTTTCAAAATCCCACACACATAAACACGAATACACAGGTAGGCGCTAGCAAGTAGGTGGCTAAAGAGGTAAAATGAAGCGGATGACCGACTCTGTCCGATTAATCCCAAAACACTACAAAACGTGGGACACGATGATGTGTTTATGTGTGGCCGGGATGGAAGCCCAAAAACGCATTATAGGGCCAGAGTGGGCTGCCCACTCGTCTTCTCCACCCAATGGTGCGCACGCGTATGTGGACGTACGCATCTCACCTATTGGCTACTACTGCCTTGTGGAATGGGAAAGCGTGTACGCACTGAAGTGGGTGCTACTGGCACCCCGACGCACTTATCGATCGTTAAAGCGGTGCACACGTGCTACCACCAAATGGTGAGCGTATACACGCACGCACATACACAAAATTGTGGTTTTTCTAAGTGTAGATTAGATGGTAGAATGCTTGAAGATTTGTGCAAGTACCGTTGTTATGTCAATTCTCTTGAAAGAGATCGCTTCGGAAAGCCGGATCAAAGTCTACACATTTGGTGCATCAATGTTTCTGCTGGGCGTAAAATCGAATATCTAAAAAATGGCTTTCATTACTAATACTCTCGCTGCAATCGCAGTCGAGAAGCTAGTGACGGAAATGCGGTGCTTGTAATTATTCATGTCACGAACGGAGTCAGCTCTCGGTCCTACTGAACATCCATAATAAAACTCTTCTCAGGATTGGATGCCTTCGGAGACGACTCCAGCCATCCCAGTCTATTTCGAGAAGTGAAAATGTGAAGGAAAAATGAACAGGACCATGTTGTATTGCACAAAACTATAAAACTACAATAGAGGTTCGGGGAAAGTTGACAAGGCAAGAAATTTGACCCAGCCTTAAATACCAGGTGGGCAAAGGGAGCTGTAGAGGCTATCTGTATAAGTCACACTAGCAGCTCCTTACGGATCCTAAAACCATGCAAAAGTGGTGCTAATGCTTCCGTCCACAAACCGTAGTATGTAGAAGATTGCTTTCCCTTATCAGTACAACCTTATCTACCAGATTTTCAAACAACCTCCTCTTATTTAGCTTTCATTTCACTTATATTGCACGATTCCAACCTCTCAACATTACAAAGGTCTTACTTCTATCCTGGACCCATAGAGAATGTTTTCTCGTCTCAACATTCTGCATCATGTTAGGGGAAGATGCGATGGCAAGGCGACAACGATGAATGAATGAAGGGTAGACGCATTTAAAATGCCGTTACAATACACAACTTGCTAAAGCAAAAATCCATACTACTGTACTTCCAACCTGCTTCAGGCTCATTCTTCATACCCCATTTTCCCATTTCGTCAAGTGATAATTATCATCCTTTTGTGATGTTACCATCAAGGCATTCACCTGGTCACACGCAAACCAGGAGGTGCGGTCAAGATGTGACAACCTCAGCTACGAAAAATGGCTTGAATTTATGCGTTTGCTTGATTCAAACCACTCGAGCACATTAATGGCAAGTGGCTGTAGAACGAGGATACAAAATCAAAATACGTCCCAGTCATCAGATTAAACTGATGGAGAACAATTAAAAATTTCGAAAGTATGTTAACCTGAAGGCGAATTTGATGCGTTTTAAGTCCATAAATCTCAATTATGATCCCACCCCGCCTGGACCAGGGTTGTGTCTAAAGGGTGGAACATCACTGGTCTGGCCTTTATCACCAAACCCAGCAGTGTTAATCAACCATCCACGTATTGTTTGAGGCATCATATTGAAAAGAATGGGAATGCAATTCAGCGATCACAGAAACCTTGTGCAGACTGCCCCACACCACTCTCTGGACGCACAAAATATGGCATGTGCATTTACACAGCCTGTGCTGCAATTTATGATAGTCAACACCGACAACAACAATAACAACCACCCCATCAGCTCATCCAATCACACGCAAGTGAAACGCATGCAACAGGATAATCAAACGAAAAGTGGTTACAGCCACCTTCACGTGATTAACTACCTTGGCTGACAGTCAGTTAGGCAAGAGCACAGGGGCGACAAGAAACAAGAGTACCATGTTTATTAAGTATATCTGATACTTTAAAGAGAGCCCTATGGTGATAGGGCGACAGTGGCCCCTTCCTTCTTGCATCAAGAATTCGGAAATCAAGAAAACTAACACTACCTGGTCGGCAATACCATCCTAGAGACCATACTAGGGCTCATAGAACAGTTGATAAAGAGCACTGCAATCCTGTCACCTTTTTCCACCAAAAGCTCATCACAGTACTTCTGAAGTTTAGCATTTACAAGGCGATGAACACGAAATATGTAACACTTCAAATCAAGGAAATAAAACGTGGCATTTGGGTGACCCTTGACCTGAGATATTTTAGAATTAAATCATAGCAAAGTGGCACTTACTAACAAGGACTAGTAGTTGAAAGTGGGAATAGCAAATATTCTGTGAGGAATTGAGGAAAATCACTTAAAAATTTGTCAATCAATGGGCGAGGATAAAGCACAAGAATCGAAGCACGCCTAAAAAATTCACTCACTACTGATGGAGGGAAGGGCAAGATGAAACAACTCACACGAGAGGTTATCATGGCTTGTTTCAACCGAACCAAGCGATAGCGTGCCTAGCAGTGGTTTTACGGTGTGTGCAATGTATGCAGTCGAACTTTGTCCACTCTCACCTTCTCCACCACCACGACCCGAGTGCGCACACAAAAACGAGTCGTAAACATTCGAAGGTTAGAGAGAGAAAGCGAGGATTTTGTGCATGTGTCGTGCGCGCATGCGAGTGTGTTTAAAACTGTCCGCGAAACACAGAAACAGTCCTCGTAACATTTGTGCATGCACGTAAGTCACCTTAACATCATCGCTGTCTGTCTGTTATGCGGCAAGTAAAGGACTAGGACCTCTAAACCATTCTTTTTGCCATGGAGGAAAATTTTAACCTATGAAGTATGTCTATCAGAGAGGGAGTGCCCACACGAAGTCTCCACATCTCATGCTTTGTGAATAGCATCGGCTTTTCACCAATCACGTGATCCGTAGAAGTGGCCCCAATAACCGTCGTAGCTTTGTCTATTGAAACCAAGCCCCCACTTGATGGGGGAAAGTAAAGGCTACAAAGGCAAGTCTAATCAGTAAACAGGTTTGTGTATAGCTCCTATGCTAGAGTGATGCCGATTTGAATGCGCATTTAAGTGATCAAACTCTGATTCTCTCGAGCTCTATCTGGAGGAGTGAACATCTGCCTAAACCTGAGTCCTTCCAACTTTTACAATGAAACACTAGACTCTACTAAGCTGAACCCTCCATAAACCTCAGAAGTATAACTTTAAGATGAAGCAAGGCCGGTAGGGAACATTTTTGCAATGAAAGAATTTTAATAAAAGGCATGACAGAGCGCTTTTCAGATACTCTATTAACTTGTTCATCAATTCACCTCGTAAAAAAGTATAAGTCAAAAGCAAGAAATAGCAACATTACCTTTGTAATGTAAAATGTAGCCTAGGATACCGTGTCAAAAGTTCGTCGCTCAATCCTGCGTAGATGTAAGAAGCTTATGAGAGAAGAATCACCATTGCCGTAGAGAAACCATCAGTTTTGTGGCTTTAAAATGGGGCTCAGAATTGCTCATATACATGAATCCTACTGATTGACCAATGTTTCCACAGATTCTTACAAGAGGCATTTAATAATAATAACGCTTCCATCAAGTTGCACTGAGGGGTGTCAAACTCATGGCGACTTATTTTCGAATTGAGAGGAGAACAAATGCAAATATCATGGTCAGTGCTTATGCCGCGCAAAATGCGATTCTCGGAATAGTCAAAGAGCATCCATCCCATGACACCGTTGCAAACGAAAAGTTTAGCCATGGAAGTAATGGCTGGGAGTACTACTTACGAGAACAAAGCTATTTTCCTTGGAGATTCATCACTTGCATTTATAATATCAGCGTACATGATTGTCCCATAAGCTCATTGCAATTCACTCCAATAAAGTTTAACCTACCATCGACTGAGGTGCTAAAACATGGTGTGCCAAATTCGACCCCAAATCGGATGCCTGAGAGAGCAAACGTTTATAAGGACAAGGCAATGCTATATTGCCAGGTCAGATACATAAAAGTGACAGTTAGGCAGATGGTATTTGAAAAGCAAGATGAAAGCCAAAAATGCCACCAAACCAAATGACATCAAGTTGCCACCAACGTTTACTTGAACAGGGTAAAATTGCTTTGGACAAAACAAGAAAATGGTAGCAACTGTGTGGAGATAAAAGGTGGAAGTTAAGGAAATTCACTCGGAATTTCCACTATTATTGTTTCTGTCTTGATCAAAGTATAGTTCGGGGCGGAGACACAAATGTGAAAAATAGTTGTTCAGAGCAGCGGCATTCAAACATCATGCCTCAATAGCGGTTGCGTCAAGACAGCCCCGCTGCCCCAGGAGAAGGGCGAATTCACCTGAAACAGTCCGACTGTCTGACTCACGGCCTAACCGTCGCAACACGTGGTGGTGATGACTGATTTGTTATGTGGGGGACTGTAGTTGCAGCGGTAAGGCGCCTTGGTCTACATCCTCAGCGCATAGTCTTATCTGCGCGGGTGACGCATCACACCCCATCGTCGCATCACCTCTCATCGATTTTGACCGGGTTATTACGCATGAAGGATGGCACTTGCAAATGCGAGTTAGAGGTCAAGCCCAGTTCTGGACACGACCTACCAGCTATACGCTTACAGGCGAGTATCAGTTTTTCCAGCTATTACATGGAGGACCTCATACACACAAGTAACATGAGAGATCGTGTGGACAAGTTCCGATTAATGCTTGCCTTCATCATCATTTCCAAGGTGCATTTGTGATGCGGACATGTAAAATACCTCTGACCCAGTAAGGCGACAGAGAGGGGGTTGGACGAATTAAGATTCATATTCAAGAACAAGTGTTTTACGTGCTTACATTGATTAAAGGGAACACTATTACCAGCTTCCCTCA